CCCATCTCCCCCCCCTCCCTCCGACTGCTTCTGCCTCTGTGCTGCCATTGTCGTAGTCGCGAGCCTTTCCCAGGCGGGAGGACTTGATGAGCCGGTCACTTCGACCCGAGGGCCTCGTCTCCTCTGTCCACGCCCCAGTCCCGTTACACACTTTGTACACGCCGACACAGATCTGTGTTATCTTCTCGGGTTTTGTACTGTCACTTGAAATAAAGCTATTTCTTAATAAAATGTCCAAGTCTTACCGTTTCAGGGCATCTCCCCCTGCCGGGGTCTCCCCTGGCCCTCTCAGTCTCTGGCTTTTCCTCAAGCGCGCGGCGCAGCTGCATTCAGGCGGGCAGAGCAGGAGCGGCGAGGACGGGGGTCGGCGTCGCGGTCCGACCGCTGTCCGCGGTCGGCTCTCGTCAAGCACACGCAGGGGCCGGCGAGCTGTGGCACGCGCCCTGAGCAGCCAGAGCTACTGGGGTAACCCTGGGGCCCGGAGGGAGGTTCCCCCGGGGGCAGCGACCTCGAGGCTGCTCCCTTGGCACCGAGAAAGCCTCTCTCAAAGGGGGGTGGTACCGAAGGCACCCCCCGGGCAGGTGGGCGGCGCCAGCCCTCCAGGCGAGCCCTCGAAGCCAGAATGGAGGACGCCGGACACACCACCGATCGTCCTCGCCTTCTGCTGGATACGGAGTCGCCGTGGTGTACGGGTCAATTCTGAGGTAATTCTGGCAGGCGCCTCGTAAACGCGTGTGCAGGACGACTCGCCTGAGGCGTCTCTCGGTGACGGGGCCTCCGAGGCGGAGAGCGGCGGCATGGACACGAGAGGGTGGACGGGCAGCCTGGGAGAGCCACGCCCGCGGACCTCGTGAGGGCCTGCCGGGGCGGGGAGGCCGTCGGCCGCGCCGGGCCTCTGCTGCGCCCCACAGCCCGTCCTCGGGGCTAAGTTCACCCTAAGGGAAAGCGACAGAGGCTGGCGGACAGCGGAGGTCGCCCGCTGCTGCCCCTCCGCCCTGCGTCTGGAGGAGGCGCGCGTCCAACGCCAGTCCCGCCGGGCCTCCTCCTCAGGCCCAGCTGTGCCGGCGCCTCGGCCTGAGGAGCCGCTGGGTGAGAAAGGCCGCCGCGCACGCTCCTGCCGCACAGCCGGTCTCGCGCGGCAGCTCCTCGGCCGCAGTGCAGGCACCTCAGGAGGGGCTCCCCAGGCAGCCTTTCCCCAAACCCCGAAGGAAACCAGCTCCGAAACGCGCGGCGGCCGCTGCGGGAGGGCCGGTGGTCAGCGCTGGCGCAGCGCGGCCTGCTGCAGGTACCCGGAGTGGGCCAGAGGCCGCGTCTCCGGACCGCTCCTCCTCCCCTGCTTGACTCCTTCCCAGGGAGGCCACACCCGCCTGCCTGGAGACCTCACTGCTTCAGCTGCCACTTGGGTTCCGCCAACGGGCACTTCGGACACGGGGGCGCGCTCCTGGGGGGTCACCGCGCCGGCCAGGGCCGCTCT